ATTGGCGGGTTCTAAATGAGCCCAAGATTATGGCTCGGACTCATCCACACTAGCTAGCCATGGGACTCGTCCGGCAAGTTGTATTAATATGCAACAAGCTCGATGTCAACATGGGCGTAAGGTTAATCAAGGGGCATTGGAAGGAAAAACCCGAGATAAAAGCTATTGCTATTGGCGGACTCATTGGCGGAAGAACCTATAAAGGTGTTGTGGCGGCAGTGCCATTTGGCGTAGCCTCATCGCTCAGGCGTCGTGGCGTAGTGGCGTAGCAGCCGGCCCTAAACCAATCACGTGGGATGTGGCGCGCTCAACTTGAACCAAACATGTACAATGTTTGGTGCTCAACGGCTAGGTAGAAGGGCTCAGTCAGCCCATCAGTTGGATCAGACTATGGAGGACTGCGGACGCTCCTAACCGAGCCTACGCGAGGAGAATGTAAGCAGAGGTGGCTTAAACAGGAAGTACTGGTGATTGGCGGCACCAGCATCAAAATAATACCCGGGCAGACGCCTCTAGGTCTGCCCAACAGCCAGGATATGTCTCGCTTCGCATCAGTTCTTCGCTTGTAAAGTCGCCTATCATTCTCTTAGTTAGTTGGGATCAATCCCTCTAGTAGTATAAAAGCCGCATGTATTTTAGTAGTTAGACAGTGAATAACTCCCCCATTTCTTGGCACATAGCTCTTAGCAGCTTATAAGGACTCCATTCCTTATCCCGTTCGACGCACACACTCCCTTGGCGTAAGCCTGAGTTGTCCCTCCGTCCTCGGCCTCCGCCACTTCGGCCAGTCGTAGAACTATTCCTAGTCGCGCTGCTCGTACGCCACCCGGTCATACGCCCCTTTGCTCGGTCGCAGAACTATTCCTAGTCGCGCCGTTCATACGCCACTTTGCCACACGCCACTTTACTCGGACGTAGAACTATTCCTAGTCGCGCCGTTCATACGCCACTTCGCCAGTTCGCTCAGTAGACCTAAACAGTCTACGCCAAAGATATACCTACCAGCGTTTACGCTAGTTAAAGTCATACGCCAGTTTGTTCTCCGGAACTCTCTTAGCCAGAAAACCCAAAGAATTCACATTGTCCCAACCTATTGAGATTGACGGTCGATACGCCTGACCTACCTCCCGAACAAAATACGATAAAGCTTAGTTGGAGTTGATAGTTTTGAGGTTTGGTGTTGGTTTGAGTTAAGACTAAGGTCTCACTCAGTTAGCATTAGATTTCACGGCTGCGCTTCACTGCACCGTTTCACCGGTTGTGAAAATGGCTTGGAAGATTGATTAGGAGTGCTCTGTGGCAGAGGACCGTAATTAGTAATCGAAAGAGACAGTCGCTACCCATCACGCCATAATTATTTACGTATCTGAACCTCCAAATAAGCCCGGAGCGGACGAAAAACAATGTGCAATCTTTCAGATGGCGGGGGCCCGAATCGAACGGGCGCTCTGGGATGTAATTCCAGACCTCGATTAATTAAACCTAGTGCACTCCGTATGCTACCCTGCCTCTTCCTATCCAGTACATACCCCCAACGAAAGCGATTACACGGGACTTTGTCGGCCGATGAAACAAAAATATGATGTGACTGGGTTATGGCGGGGTCCGAATCGAACGGGCTACTTCGGGGGGTAGAGCACTGGTTGTCTCCACATTAGTCCCCGGCGCACTCCATGTGCTACCCCGCCTCTCATCCTCCCTCCTATCCTCATTATTTCCTACAATAAAATCACCATTTATTTAACCGCAGGGAGAAAAAGAACGATACGGACGCCCTATGACGGAGGTCAGAGTCGAACGGGCACCCTCTGTGAGTATGTATTGATCAGGAATTGTCCGCACAGTTGAACACAGTGCACACCGTGTGCTACCCCGCCTTATACCCCCTCCCCCCTTGTTATTTTCTACTGTGAATGAACGACTTGATTAGCCACAGTGAGCAAAAGCATGTTGTCGATCCTTCGCCATGGCGGGCGCCCGAATCGAACGGACACCTCTGTGAGTAAGTGTGAGTCAGCGATTGTTCGCTCAGTTATACACAGTGCACACCGTGTGCTAACCCGCCTTTCCTTCTTACTTCTCACAGCATGAACTGGGAATGCGGCTAAGCTTTCTTGGAGGAAGGGTTGTCCTACTTCGCAAGTTTCCAATGCTCCGGTGAATCGATCCGACCCTCAAAACGATCCCGGAACCGGCGGAAAAAGAGGGTCCAGGCATCTTCGGTGGCAGGGGCCCGAGTCGAACGTGAACTCCAGGTAATCATTAGATACGATTCCAGAATACACACCGGGCGCACACCGTGTGCTACCCCGCCTCGTTTACTGTAGGCGGACCTCCTTGTATCAGACCAATGGCATGGTTGACACATCCTAACTGCCTTGCATTTCCATATCAACCCGAGAGACGCGAGTGAGACAGTGAAATTTTGCCCAGAAGCCTCTGAGTACTCGAGAGTGCCCATCTTCCGGCCCCTCCAAACACAAAAGGAGTGCACAATGTGGGCTATGACCTGACCCCGAGTCGAACGCGGATCATCTGGTTAAACACAACGCTTCGTTCGGATTAATTGAAGCAGAGGCACTACATTGTGCTATCAGGTCGTTTTTATCCAATACATTTGCGGCGTCAACTAAGCTTGTGAGCATGCTCCGTAGCTAAGAGCTGGGCGCAACTTATTGAAGTTGACTCGATTTAATTCGTGACCGAATCTTCGTCTCACAGGGCCACCTTCAAACTTCTACTCAGATAAATTGATTTTACTGGCGAGTTTATTCACCTTCTTTCCAGCGGGAACAACCCCGGGACGTCAAGAACGGATCTTTGTCCACGAACGTGACGGAGAACAAGCAGGTCACAGCCGCACGTGATCGTGACCAACCTTTCTCCCTCCCTCGATGTCCTTCTCGACGACGGCGACGAGCAGCGCCGAGACCTGCATGAGCCTCGCCATTTCCTGTCTCCCAGGCCCCCAATCCAAGTCCTTCGAGGTCTCCCCCGCTTCCCCGGCCCGCACCACATCACTGACTTTGTTTTGGACGCAGGAAGTGCGCATCAACGACTACCTCGAGTCCTACCGCGCGACGGGCCGCCCGCCGCCGCCCTGTCCGCCGTACCCGACCGAACCCGCGGCGCGGGCCGCCCAGCGCCTCCCACCGCTCTTCGTCCCCACGCCATTCTCCGCGCTCGGCGGCCCGACGTCGACGGCAGCGACGCCGTTCGGTGCGCCCGTAGCGAGCACCAGCGCGGCGGCCATCACCGACCCCGCGCGGCTGCCCGTGGCGCAGGTGTTCACCGCGCCGGTCCCCGCGCCCGAGGACGAGCGCTTCGCCAGCATCGCCGCGGCGCCGGAGTACACGCATTGGAGTCATGATGTGCGTTACAGCCTCGTGTTTCTCTCATTCTTACTTATACTTGGTGGGACGCAGGAACTACGATTCTACGCATACCTGCGCAACGCACGACAGCCGCCGCCGGGGACGCCCATGTTTCCATTCATCACCGCGCTTGCGCCGCCGCCCACGTCGCAGCCAGTGCTGCCACTGGATAATGGCGGAGATCAGTTTGTCAGCATTTCGTGCCGGCCGGAATTTGCGGGGCATAGCGTCGAGGTGCGTCGCGAAATTTCTGCATTCACGCGGGAACTAACCTCACTTTCCCTTTCTCTCGTTTCCTTTCTTTCTGACGACTCGCCTCATCTGCTACTCATTCTCCCACCCAGGAACTCCGCCTCTCCTTCCTCCGTACCGGCGCAGAGCTCACCTCTGCGCAAATATTCTCCGGCGTCACCGCCGCTCCCACCGCTGCCCCAACAAACCCGCTCCTCCCTCCCTCCTCTTCCCTACCACCCGCCTCACACCAATCCCCTTTCGCCCCGCACCCCCAACCGCAATCGCCGTTCGCCCCCCCGCCCGCGCCCGTGTCGACGCCGCTCTTCGGACTGGGCAGCGTGGCCGCCCGCCCCGTGGCTGCGCCCTCGCAGACGTTCTCGTTCGGCGGTGCGCAACCGCAACCACCCGCGCCCGCGCCGGGCGTATTCGGCCAACCCGTCCAACCACCTGGGAGCATGTTCGGCCAGCTCGCGCAACCGCCTGGCAGCATCTTCGGCGCACCGCACCCACCCGCGCCCGCGCCCGCGCCGAGCATGTTCGGGCAGCCACAAGCGCCTAGCATGTTCGGGCAACCACCACAACTGCAACCACCACCACCACAAGCGCCGCCGGCCACGGGGGGGTTTTCGTTCGGCGCGACTCCGACGCCAGGCGCGGCGGGGGGAGGTGGGGGGACGGGGTTTTCGTTTGGGGTGAGGCGAGGGTTTTAGCGGTGTAAGCGCTTGTAGGAAGAGGAAGGTAGAGGGAGGAAGGAGGGAGACAAAAAGGAGAGGAGGAGAGGTGCTAACTTATGTATATCGCTGTGTCGCTGTTTTTGTTTTTCAATCGCGTCGTGTGTTCGTGTTGGTCTGGTTCAGAACACGTCATGGGGTAAGTACAGTATATTATCGGGCATGGAAGGAGGGAGGGAAGACCTGATAGCATAATGTGGAGTGCGTCTGTTTTCTATAATGAGACAAGGTGTTTTCAGTGGAAGGTCCCCGTTCGATTCGGGGTCAGGTCATGGATATTCAGGATGGTTTTTTTGTGGGGACTTGGCGAGGGCGCGGGTGGGAAGGGCCCTGACGTATACATCCCGCTGTTCCTCTTTCTCTTTTTGGTTGCAAGATTTTATTTTGTGCTCGTTCGCGGATCGGTCTGACAGCAATGTGGGTGGGGGTGTTAGGGAAAGGGGTACATATAAGACGCACGGTAGGAGATAAGGAAGACCTGGTAGCATAATGCTAGTGCGTCTGCTTCATGTTGTCGATAAAGGTAGAACTTTAAGCAGAAAGTCCCTGTTCAATCCGGAGTGGGGTCATATGCGGGGTGAAGTCTTCTTCTTTTTCGTTTTCATGTTCTGGCTGAAGTGAAGATTGAGAGGCATGACCACGTAGGGAAAGAGGTAACGAAGACCTCATAGCATATTGTGGAGTGCATCTGCTTTCTATTAGGAAGCAGTGTGATGTTCAGCAGAAGGTCCCCGTTCGATTCGGGGTCAGGTCCTGATCGGTTAACGTCTTTTTTCTTTCTTTGGTGGATTCGTCTGATCGCAAATTTTATACCTCCCGTTCGCCGATTTGGTCTGCTAGAATGTTAGGGTATAGGAGACGCAGGGCGGAGGGAAAGGGAATACCTGATAGCATATTGTGGAGTGCATCAGCTTTCTATTCGGAAGATCGGAGGATTATCTGCAGAAGGTCCCTGTTTGATTCGCAGTCAGGTTATGGATACTCGGGAGGGTTTTTTTGTGGATTTGGATTGCGCTCGCGGCCGAGGGGGGGAGGACACTGAGTCGTAGTGACCTTCGTCACTTCGTAACTTCGCTTAAAGGTGCGAAGGTTCGTGACTTTGATGGAAAGTTGGGAAAGTTCGTCACATTGGCGAGTTTCCAGGGAAGTTCGTGAGACACAAATCAAACGCATCAACCCGGCCATCATTTTTCTTCAACCCAAGTCTCTCCGTATTCTTTTCATATAGATACCTTGCTAACCCTAACCGCTAACCTCTAACCCGAACCATTAACCCTAACCACTAACCACTAACCGCTAACCCTAACCCAAACCCAAACCCAAACCGCTAACCTCTAACCACTAACCCGCTAACCCGAACCTAACCGGCCACTCTCGGCAAGTTGATGGCACGCATCACTCCGTGATGTGCCGAGGAGCGCCGCTTGACAAGTAACTCACGAACTTTCACAGAAGCTCGTCAAAATCACGAACTTTCGCGGATTTCCATCAAAGTTACTAAGTTTCCCGAAACTAAGCGAAGTTACGAAGTGACGAAAATGGCGTGGACTCGAGGACACTACCTTATATTACTGTCGGTGTGTTTGGTTTTGGTTGCGGTCGGAACACAAGATTTTGTTCGTTCGTTCAGGATCTGGTGTGAACACATTGTGAGGGGTATATAATCGATGCTGGGGAAGGGGTAAAGAGCATCTGGTAGCATAATGTGTAATGTGTCGGCTGGGTATTCCAGAGGATGCCGAATAACCAGCCGAAGATCCCCGTTCGATTCGGGGTCAGCTCATGGTTTGTAATGGTTCTTTTTTCCTTTTTTTTCTTTTTTTTTGTTGGATTTCTCTTGCGTCCAGGGTGCTCGATTCATTCGTCTCTCCGTCTCTCCGTCGTTCACACTCTTCCTCTTTCCTTTGCTCTTCCCCAGAGGACTCCTCAGATCCACGCAAAATCACCATGAATCCCGACGTAAACTGTGCTAAAAGTCCTGATAGGCTATGCTCTACCTACAATCATATGTACAGCAATACAGTTCACGCAGGACATCCAAGTTCGAGTCGAGGTCGGGTCGTCGTCATTGGGGAAGGTGTTTGGCGTAGATATTCCAGGGCAGCTGTAGGACAGCTACACCTCCGATCCTTGCAATAATTAGCCCAGATGGGCACAGTACTAGTCTGGAATTTACCGCGCGCCCTGTGTTAGGCGGTGGGGGTTATTATATAATCGTCGGAGTTTTAAATCTATCAAAAGTTTCCCCGCTTCAGCCTGAGCACAGCGGACAAAATTTAAGAAGCCAAACGACCCGGATCTAAATTTCGAGAAGATGTGCCTTTTCAGGATTGTCATATTCCCCATGGTCGAAGAGAAACGCAACACTGCCGTACTCACGTGGCCGGCCCGTTAAAATTCGGCATCGCGCTTGCGAGGTCCAGGCGAGTGAAATGAACGAGAAAGCTCCTTATTCGGGAGTATTACACGAGAGTCCATCACCGAATGTGGAAAGACGCGTCGTAACCGTCGTTGAATGTTCGAGAAATTTCAGATTACATAATAAGGCCCACCTCGGATCAAACACCTCGGGTAATCGACAGACTACAACAACGCGAGGTACGAGCGAAAAAATGCTGTAGCGTCTGTTTATAAGAGACTAGCACAGTACCCGACGCCCGTTGACAAATAGGATGCCGTCGGTGGCCGAAACTCGGCTGACACCGGCACGGACACTTCCGGCGGCATGCCGCATACGACTCGCTCACGGTTCTACCCACGATCCTCGTGTTTCCCTCACGGCAGAGGCTCCTTGACCAGTACCCCCATGTCCGATTCAACAGAACCCAACCCTCCCCCTGCATTCGTTCCCAGCTCCCCCTTCGATGACCCCGCTGGGGACGTCATCCTCCGCTCATCTGATGGGATCGATTTCCACGTCCACCGCCTCGTGCTATCGCTCGCGTCGCCATTCTTCAAACAGATGTTCACACTCCCCCAGCCGAACGCCGAGCCCCGTGTTCCGGCCATCCCTGTCTCGGAATCTGCGCTGGTTCTAGACAGAGCATTGCGCTTCTGGTACCCGGGAGCCGGGCCCATCCCATCCCAGACGTTGGCTGAATTGGCGAAGACGCTGGAATGTCTTCTCCTGAAGTATGACATCCAATCCATCACTCCCTTCGCCCAGCATCAGCTGCGGGGATATATGGAGGGCAATCCTGTCGCCGTCTTTGCCATCGCGTGCCGCCATGAATGGAAGGACCTGGCTCTGGAAGCCGCACAGAGCTCCCTGCGACTGCCGATTCTCACATTCCCTTCAGAACGCCCCGCAGAGCTTAAATACACCAGTGGCGATACTTACCACGGTCTCCTCAACTATCATGCCGAGTGCGGGAAGGTCGCCAAATCGACAAGTTCCTCGCTGAGATGGTTGCCTTCCAGGGATAATCTCCCCGGTCATGGGTGTAGAACCTCGTCTTCCATCTGCTCAATGCGCCTCGAACAGTCATTCGCAAACGGTCAATCATGGAAGATCGCAACATGGTTCGGCACCTATTTGGACCGTTTGCCAGACGCGCTTGCGACGAAACCCGGGGCCTGGCTGAATAGTCCGGAACTGCTGCCATTGGCGTTGTCAGAGATCCCTCCGGGGTGCACTCACTGCAGAACAACTGGGGTCGAGCAATTGATGAAGTTCGCAGTGGATTTCAACGCCAACATGGCGAAACAATTTGAGTCGGTATGCCCTCTTCTTCATGGCATTTTTTGGTTTCGCACTGAATCCATCCACAGGTAGAACTGAGATTGGAATTCTAAGCTTTGATCTTGTCTCTGGTTCGTTTGTCAAGTAAGTTGTATTCCGCGCCAAATAACACAAAGCAGGAACTTACCGAACCTAGGACTACCCCGTTCGCTTTCCTTCTGATGTCGTACCCGCTTTTTGTATGCCTCGATACCGAGAGTAATCTTTATTTGACCATCTCGAAATATGAATTTACACGTCGAACTTTCGGAAGCGCGCTAGACACTCCCCAGGTTCGAAATCTTCCCTGCAATTACTGCATGAGAATCCTTAGGCTCTAATGAAATTAGGATGCATCCCCGACAAAATACCCGCCCTTCTCATGATTCTGTAGCGCCGCTTTCTCGCACTTTATCCGTAGATACGGAATATCCCTGCACATCTGACCTATGCCATGAATGTTCAAGTGCTGAACCGCCTTTCGCAAGCCCGCCCCGAACACTCGGCTTCTTTCCTGGATTCGACGTCGACCTGCTGTAACTTAATCGCTGAGCGCCGAGTGCCCGGTGATGTTCGCCCAAAGAAAGAAAGATCCAGTAAGGGCATCACACAATTTCGCCGTATGAATTATATCCTCGGGCGGCCGGGCGGTGTTCGAAAGTACATAACGAAACTCGCGCTGAAGGAAGAGGCGGAAAGGCAGCGATATGGGCTTATCCGTGGAGCTTATACACATATGCGGGAGTGGTTTGGAAAGGGGTTTCAGAATCGAGAGGGTGAAGTGAGAGTGCGGTTCGAGGAACAACTTTCAGGCCAGTCATATGTGCTGGGGGGATCCAATATTGAAATGACAGTGGGACCAAGTAGGCAATAAAAAGAAGAGAGCTGCCAGCGCCGAGTGGACGAAGAATGCGTAGTGGAAACGGTTCAACCCTTCAGCTAGACGGTAGGCCAGCGCCGCGCTGCTGAAAAGGAGAGGCGTGTGAGTCTGAGATCGAGTTTTGTGTTTCTCAAAACCTGAGTTCAAGGAGAGAGAATGGATCGCAATGCAACGATTTATTGAGACATTTACACGATTTGAGCTATCACAAATTGCGGGTGTAGCTCTGCACAGTTCTGTAAGAAACGGACATTCCGACGCACGAGTAATAAAACTCACCTGAAACCAATCATCGCGATGACGCTCGGCGCGACGGAGCTGCCAGATCCAGAGAAATAAGGACAGGCGAACAGATATATGATTAGAGGACATACCATGTTTGTGGAACTCAACCGATGCAAGGTAGGTGCGAGCCTGTCGTACTCGGCAGGATCCATCTCGAAGTGAAACACTGGTGAGTGATGCATGGGAAGGCTCGAGAGCCTGGCGTCGAGCTCTTCAGCTGTGATCAGGACCCCTGAAATTCCCTTTGGAGGATAGGTCCGGTGGCGGACGAAAATTTGGGATTTTGGGCCCCAAACCTAGGTTCAGGGCGGACAAAATCGGGGCTCGCCGAGCAAAATGCTGGGTTCGTTGGCGGACAGAATACCTGCTCTTGGGTGCCTATATCCTGATCCAGTTGTCCATTGATTGGACTCCTATGACCGAGCGGACTACCGCTATTGCTTAGAATTTGTATTGCCGTGGTCGCTCGTTCGAATCGCACCTTTTGCCTTTTTTTGGACCGCCGTCGTCAGCTTCATGCTTGCCAAACCTACCAAGTTTTTATCTTAAGGTACCGCTGGGAGTGCCGAAAGAGAAGTGTGTCTTTTAAAACATTATCTAATATTCAGTACAGATATCGTCGCCTTTGGGCTCGACCTGGCTCGACCCCAGCTGCTACCCCTTTTGCGCCCCTTTGTAAAGCCCTTCCTCGTGTATCTCAAGCTGTCGTGCGGCAGCGTGGTCGTCCTGGCGATCCAGTCCCTCAACGTCGCGGTGAATTAAAGGTGATCCATCCAATCATCGCGGCGCTGTCAAAAATCTCTGTACATGTCTTCGAACCCCTCCACGGCGCGCAGTTCAGGACCATTCCGACGGCCACTGCTATGCT